CACTTTGTTGTTCTTTCACTTAACATTATTTATCTACCTTTATTAAATTTTGCCTTGAATTTATTTGATTGAAGCTTGAGAGTAAAATAATGCGTTCCAACTTAGCAAGAATATAAAATGAATTTTAAGTCATTTGTTTAGTCTGCCTCCTTTTTCCCTAACTTCACATAATGCATTTGTCATTACATTTTCTTGCATAATATTGTTGAAACTATATGTCGCAATGTAAATTCCAATTTCAATCTTTGTTGTTGGGATTTTGAAACAGGGGCCTTGGGAAGACCATTCAAATGATAGCATTTCTTGCTGCTGTCTTTGGTAAAGATGGAGAATATATGCCAAAGGGAAACCACGCAATGAAAAGAGATCCTGTATTAATAATTTGCCCAACTTCTGTTATCCACAACTGGGAGAGTGAATTCTCTAAATGGGCAAACTTCAGTGTTTCCATTTATCACGGTGCAAACAGAGATCTAATATATGATAAATTGGAAGCACATGGAGTGGAGATACTTATTACCAGTTTTGACACATTCAGAATTCATGGTAGCATATTGTCAAAAATCAAATGGGACATTGTGGTTATTGATGAGGCTCATCGGCTCAAGAATGAGAAATCAAAACTCTACAGAGCATGTTCAGAAATAAAAACCCCAAGACGTTTTGGTCTTACTGGAACGATGATGCAAAATAAGATCATGGAACTGTTTAATCTATTTGACTGGGTTGTTCCAGGATCCCTGGGAACAAGGGAACACTTTCGAGATTTCTATGATGAACCCCTGAAGCATGGTCAGAGGTCAACTGCTCCAAAGAGGTTTGTAGAAATTGCCAACAAGCGAAAACAGCACCTTGTGACAGTTCTTCAGAAATACATGTTAAGAAGGACAAAGGAAGAGACCATTGGGCATCTTATGATGGGAAAAGAAGATAATGTTGTGTTCTGTGCCATGAGTGAATTGCAAAAACGAGCATACAGGAGAATGTTACAACTTCCTGATATCCAATGCCTTATTAATAAGGACTTGCCTTGTAGTTGTGGAAGCCCACTCACACAAGTTGAATGTTGTAAGAGGATTGTATCAGATGGAATCATTTGGCCTTACCTTCACAGAGATAACCCTGATGGTTGTGATTCATGTCCCTTTTGCCTTGTCCTTCCTTGCCTTGTTAAGATCCAACAGGTTAAGATCTTGAACATTTATATACCTCTTTTCGGTTATAGCATCTCTGCAAATTGTACATATTAAAAGATACTTTGTTCATAGCTCTGGGCATCTATTGTGATTTTAATTTTTGATTTGCTGTTATCGCTTTGAAATTTATGGTAAATTTTTTAATGATTCAGCTCAACAACTGTAACAGGGAATTGAAAGCGAAGCATTTCCTCAATTATAGAAGAGATATATATCTCTATAATTTGTGAAGATAGAATGCATGAAGTAGGATGAGGGATTTTAACTCAAAAAGGACGTGAATAAAGATATGACTGACTTTGTTGAAGGGCTCATGTCTTGAAACTCATTGTGTCTTTGTCACGTGGTTCTGTATATTGCATAATGGTTCATGACACCAAATCTGGCCTTGTATCGGCTTCTTTCTTTTGATTTTTTGAGAGAATAGAATGGAAATTTCTTTTTGACTTTATTGCACGAGAGAATGGTTCAAGTGAATGATTTTAATTCTTCTGATGATTTATGCATGGAATTTCCTATTGTCAATATTCAATTTAGTTGAGTGACAATGACTTCATTTTTCTATATGGAGATAGCATGCGTTAACTTGAATGTATCTGAAGATTTGATGCAGAGGGAACTTTTGGAACCAATGCTTTTGGATGGTATATGAATACGTCAAGGATTTGTAACTTAAATCAACTAGTTTTATGATTGGTGCCTTAGATTTGCTATCCCTATAATTATGCTTTGCTATCCCTATAATTATGCGTGGTAAATTTGATTTCCTCACCAATTGAAATTTATATTTCACTTTTCTTTGCAGAATGTTAAGCATCGTTGCATTTCTGTTTGAACTTGGTTTTGCTCTATTTCTATGAATCAATTATGGTTTCTCACTCATGCTAGTGAGGTGTTATTCTATGATTTTGATGTACCTGTTTGTGTTACTTTATGCCAGATAAGCAATCACCTTGAGCTGATAAAGCCAAACCCCAAAGATGACCCTGACAAACAAAGAAAAGATGCAGAGTTTGCTGGTGCTGTCTTTGGCCCTGATATTGATTTGGTGGGTGGGAGCACGCAGAATGAGAATTTCATGGGTCTAAGTGATGTGAAACATTGTGGCAAAATGAGAGCACTTGAAAAACTTCTGTTTTCATGGATCTCTCATGGTGATAAAATTCTTTTGTTTAGCTATTCTGTAAGGTGATACACCTCCGAACTTTTACGTTTTTTGGCTACTACAGGTGCTAGATTTAGCTTGTATGGGTCATTAGGTTATATTGATTTTTTTTTTGGCCTATGGTAAATAGTGGTTTTTATTTTTTTTTAAAATATTTTATGCCTTTTCAAGGTCCATATTTAAACTGTTTGATAATAATACTGTTAGTTTTAAAAGTCATTGTTTTGAGATATTGATGAAAGGCCAATTGGCAATGAGCTGGAAAACCTTTTATCCAAGTTTGGAATGGCTCAGGACTGAGTTCATAGATGTTATCCTTACCCAAATGCAAACCCCCCTTTTTCTTCCCCTCCCCGCTCAAAAAAGTCTCAAGACCCTGCTGTGGGTTATGACCTAACTATAGTTTAGGTAGTTGTCCCACGGACTGTAGAGATTCCTCTGGGATATGTTCTAAGATACTGAACAATACTGGGACTTGTAAAAGTGCCATGCCTTCTTTTTTCTGGATCAATTTTTTATTTTTCTGTTGATCTTGTGCTCCTTTTTCAGAATGCTGGACATACTAGAGAAATTTCTTATAAGAAAAGGCTACAGCTTCTCAAGACTTGATGGTTCTACCCCAACTAATTTACGTCAATCACTGGTTGATGACTTCAACTCAAGTCCAAGCAAACAAGTAGGCATCAAGATGATACTTCTTTTTCTTCTGGTCAGGGCCTTAAAATGATACTTGAATATGGCCCTTTTCAATTCAATTTGCCATTGGGCTCCTATTGATGATTGTAGGTATTCTTGATATCAACTCGGGCTGGCGGGCTTGGATTGAACCTTGTCAGTGCAAATCGTGTGGTGGTATTTGATCCCAACTGGAATCCCGCTCAAGACTTACAGGCACAGGACAGGTCATTCCGCTTTGGGCAGAAACGACATGTTGTGGTATTCCGCCTTCTTGCAGCTGGTTCACTTGAAGAGCTTGTTTATTCTCGTCAGATCTACAAGCAGCAACTATCAAACATTGCCATCTCTGGAAAAATGGAAAAGCGTTATTTTGAAGGTGTCCAGGTACCAAATTTATGCATTTTGGTTATGGATATCTATTAACTTATTAATGTGTCTTAAATTAATGCTCGCAAGTGATTCATTACTCATTAGCTTTCATGCAGGATTGCAAAGAATTTCAAGGAGAACTTTTTGGAATTTGCAATTTGTTTCGAGATTTATCTGACAAGCTTTTTACAAGTGAAATAATTCATTTGCATGATAAGGAAGGAAACGAACATGAGCATAGAATAGAAAAGGAAGGAAAACCTGTTCCTTCAGAAGAAGCTGATATTTTAGTATCAGAGTCTGGGAACAGGTTATCGACCAATTACAAGAGGACATCAACAAGTGAAGCAGATCTGGAAGATCTTGGTATGCTTCGTATGCCCTAAATCCCATCAATGTCAAGTTCACTCTTTCTTGGAACATGAAACCTGCGTGTTGCTATTCAGCAAATAGTTTCAAAATTGAAACTAATCAAGTTATTTTGTTCTGCGTCTTCTAAGATACCGTAGGTAAAGTTTTTACTGGCACACATCAAAACCGGGAATGGCGTACTAAAAAAGGGGGCATCCTTAATTTGGCCAGTAGCAAGTTTACATTCATCAACTTCTACCTGCTTTCCTTTGCTTTGTTATGGCTCTTGTTCAAGAGGCTTAGGGCAATTAGCTATGTTCTTGTGATGTTGGTTTCCATGGTTTGCAAGTATCATTTTAGTCCTGCCTCCTGCGGCTTTGATTTTGAAATGGTGCATTGAACCTTCTTAAATGTATCATTAAAACCTTTATTTTGGGTAAGACCTCAAGGTGCCCCTTCAAATTAATTATGGGACTAATTCTTTTTAGGCTTCGTCTTGGTCCTGGTCGGATTTGATGTCCTGATGTTATTAGTGAAGTCCACCCACATATAGCTCAATTCGTCCACTGAGCCAAGCGTCGTTTTCATTTTGGTTTATTGATTTGAGGAATGGCAAATTGAATCTTATATATGATTAATTGATGCTTTGTTTCCTAGGCGTTGTCTATGCTCACAGGAATGAAGACATTGTCAACTTTGGCCCTGGCATTCAAGGGAAGACAGAGACCAGCATCCCTCACGGTGAAAGCCAGCGCATACCCGTTGTCCCGAGAGAAGGATTTGAGCGTGTAGCTGAAAAACATGAAGTTCCTATCATCAGTGAGTGGAAGAGAACCCAATATAGGCTGCTCGCTCAGTCTAGAGGCATGGGAGAGCTTGAATTTAGCTTGTGGTTATTATCAGCGACTCCAATGGAAAGAGAGGAAGTGCTTCTAGACTACCTAACCTCGACGCCAAAGGGTAAATCACCGTCCTCTTCTTGCCAGTGAAGGCTGAAGAATTACACTAGTTGCACATACCTGTGGAGCACTTGTAGAGAGAAAACGAGAACGTTGTACAGTATTATATTTCAGGATGTACAGTCATAACTTATATTTGCCACGAATTTTAGTGGTTGTACAGTAGCATTTAAACAAGAATTTCTGCATTTGATTGATTAATTTTAAATGTTGTTTTAAGCCATGTTATGGATTCCTAGCCACAGGTGTAAAGGAGAGGAAAGTGAACAAATCAATTACTCGGGTTGGGGATAACTCACTTTTTAAACAAGGGGTGAATGCGAGGAAAAATATCAATATTATGTTTCTACCTCCCTCCGGCAAATCAAGTGACATAAAAAAAAAAATTCAATATCCTTTTTCACCTGATAGAGGCTTACAAGAAATTCTATATATTTTATTAAAAAAAAAGGAAATTCTATAAAGCAAATCCAGTGTCCGTGTCACCAATTTTACGTGGAGTCGTGAACATATAGCAAAATTTGTTGACTCGTAATCATAGTCCAGGACAATGAGGAATTCGGCCATCATTAAATCCTCCCTGGTTCACTTTTTCCAAGGAAGAACATTTATGCCCATTCCCCATCTTCTCTTATCCTCCAATAACTCCTACCCTTTTGATTCTAGAAAGACATCCTTGACCGAACATGGACGCCATCACCATTACCAAACAAAATACTGCAGTTATCTTCTCTGCATTTTGAATCTTGAGACTGGCTTCGAAGGCGGGGAACCAGAAACCTGTAATGGTCATGACTCATAATTATAATAGGATTAATTGTCATTCATAAAGGCACCAAGAAACATCCTCATGAAGAAACACCACACTTAAATTCACAAATCTACACAGTACCGGTGATGGTGTTGAATTTTGTTCTCTTGAAGTTTTTTGTAAATTCTCAGCATGCTCTATGATGGAGCCTGTAAAAGCCTGCAGATAATATTTATTTGAGAAAATTATAAACTGCCGCATAATGTGTCATGGGAAGTGAGAGATTGTAACCATACCTTGCGACTATTAAATGATGGTTCTGAAGTCTGGCGTCCAACCTGTGAAGGAAATAATTGTAAATCATGACAATGATGATTAAGCTACCAAGCATTGTACTATAAACTTTCTGTATCAGTAAATCTACCTGTGATGAAGTTGAATTTTCTTTTCTTGAAGTTCTCAGTGTTTGGTCAGCATGCTCAACAATGGGGCTTGTAGAAGCCTGCTGATAACACCGAGTGGACAAAATTATCAGCCAGTGTTCATTTAGTCATGGTCATAGTAAGGCAAAACAGAGATAATAGTTGTCAACATACCTTTTGACTATCAAATGATAGGCGTGAAGCTTGGTATTGGACCTGTAAAGGAAATTATTGCACACCAAGTTATAATTTTAAAATGGATCTTACAAGGCTGCCATAATTTGCACATAACCTAGAGTTTTGTTCATATGGGGTCGTTTTACATTTCGGTTTGGAGGGTTGAGGGGTGGCAAAGAAAGCAAGAACCACCACCAAGAGAAGGCTAACCAGATGTATCAGCAAAGGTGATAACTCTCTATATTTTTATGTATTTTGAAGGGTTTTCTTGGTTAATTGGAGAGTCATCTAGTTATTTTTGGTTAACTGTCTTGTGTTTAGAGTTTATTTTGGTGTTAGTTAGCTTATCTTGTAAATATTGTGTTTTGTTTTGTTTTACAATAATTCCTTTTGTTAATTTGAGTCATTTTAATTTTAAACCTTTGTAAGAGCTTGAAAAAAGTGGAGAAAGAAAAATACGATGAATTATTGAAGAAATTGGATTTTAATGGTTACCCGCTACATCAACCGTTATAGGTCAGTGTTATAAGATAAATTCTAAACCAGAAACAAAGCCCGCTACAATAGTTTTCGCACCAGAACACACAATTTTAATTTTTCTGTCTAATAAAAGAGAGAAACTAGGATTTTTCGAGGGAGGCTTCGTTTTTTACATTCTCTGAAGCTCCAAAGGCGATTTTGGAGAGCTTGGGACGATTCTGGAGCTTAGGAACAAGATAATTTATCACCGCCCACGTTTTCATTGAGTTTTCCTTCACTTTTCTCCTTCTTTCTCCTATATATCTGATTTTGTCCCATTATTCTGCTGTTTTGGGATTGTATTTAGCCATGTGTGGCTAAACCTTGATGCTCTAAAGTCCTATGAACTCATTTGCTCTAGTTGTATCTTGATGTAACGATTACTTTGTGATTAATGGATGTTTATGTTTTAATTCCAGTTTTTATTTGTGTTGCTTGATGATTGGCCACCATTAAGTAATAATTTGGAGGAATAGAATGAACTTAGGAAAGGAATTTCTTTTTGGACCATTGGAATTAAATACTTGAGATTAACTATAGTTAATTTGCCTCTCAGACAAGAATGTACTAAACAGACCTAAGTGGTTAGAAGGGATTTGAACCACCACCAAAAGAAGGCTAACTAGATGTATCAGCAAAGGCCACAAGATATCAAGATGTCATTCATCAGGACGCTGACTGTTAGCCTTTAATGCCTACTAGTAACACTCGATCTTGCCAAGAAACTAGCAAATTTTTTTCCCTCACTCCAAACAGAGAGAGTTTCAGTTACCTGGATCAATCCCACAATGCTGGGTGGCTGCATAGCTGCATAAAGATAGATGGCTTTCAGAAAATCTGACAGGCATTTATTGGATTCCTCGTAGTCTTTTGGTCCTTGCTTATTATTACTTTAATATTACAGGTTAGAGCACCCAAACAACTCATATGCTTACTTGTTAGTGACACATCATCTGATATTAGCTGAAATAAGGTACTACTTACTGTCCTTGTGTTGCTAGTTAACCCACTCTACACATTCAAATACTAGATTTTAAACTCTCTTAATTCCTTAACTCTGGTTGGCACATAATTGAATTTCTCAATTGATACCTATATCGGTGGGAATATCTTTATTTTTAATTATTGTTGATTGTATTCTGATGGCACAGCTGTTATTAGCCGTTACTAGCATTGATTTATATTCACCAGCTTTGATTAGCCTTGGTGTATATATAGGTGCGGTGGATGTAATTCTATTCAAATCAGTAAGAAAAACACATTTTCTCCCAAGTTTCCACAATATCACATGGGACCTGATTACACCTTTGGATATTCCAGACCTTTGTTATTGTCATAATTAGCATATTACGGATTGTAAAAAAATATTTTTCAAAACATTATAACCGTTGTTTTTCACTGGCAATGAGCAAAATACTTCTTTTTAAGTATTTGTTTTATTTGCACATCAAGCAACAGTGAAAAGCAGGCAATGTCAGATGTTCAGGGATGACAAGATCACCTCGTGGAGAATGCTCATCAGTAAGCAGGGAAGTTTAATGGTATCAAGAACCACTGAAGATGCAATATTTATAGTCTAAATAAGAATACAATGCAGTAGCATAGCTAAAGGCATAACAGCAAAAATAAACTAATTTGCATGTCACTTCCAATTTAAGAAATTATGGATGAAATTAGAGCACACAGGAGGATATGATGCAAAAAGATTTCATCATAAGATCTATATACCTCAGCTATTGATGCATTAGTTGCTTGAACTATCTTCTCTTCAGGATATATGGTTGACTTTTCACTAGTATCAATTTTTTGCAGATTTTTTGCCATAGTTTCACCTTCTGAAGGTTAAGATACGACAAAAGAACTAATATCAGAATAAGTGACTAACAGTATAGCAATTACAAGGGACGGAGAACCACAAACAATCATTCACAACAAAATAAGTGAGCACAGGAATCATTGAACGATCACCTCTAACTTGAGATTGCAATGCAAGGCTTCCAAACTGCATTTTTAAAATTACAAATTTATAATGCAAAAGAATGCCGCATCAGCTGAATTAAATAACTTTAAACCTGAAACTAAGAGAACAGGAAGATGATATCTTACATGATCAGCCCCATCTTCTTGATACTCAAGCTCTTCAGGAAATTTAGTTGTTTTATCACCAGTGTGCTTCAGAGCCATCCTTCGTTGGATGTCCTAGATGAGCAGTCGTCAGAATTAAGTGATAAGCTATCACATTCCAGTGTGCTATGCCCTCTTTGGCCAACTACTGTGACAAAAGTGAACAACATTTATAAAATGAAATCCAACAAGTTAATCCAGAACATTACTTCTGAATTTTGGAGATTGTCATCAATAGGCCTCTGATATGAGATCTCATCAATATTGCTTATAGTCCCCTCATTTTCATCGTCCTGCTTGCCCCTTTCAGCAGCAAGCTCTTGTTCCTCTAGTTCGTCCAACCTGGACATTATGCGGGCAAATTCCTCATCATCAGCTGAAGCTATTTCTTTCTCAGCACCAGCAAAACCAGAAACATCTTGATTCAGTGGACCTGAAATGAAACATTGGCATTTTATATCAGACTAACCACAATGTTCTTTAAAACAGAGTATGGTTGTCAATTTTGTGCATTGATCATGAAACATAACTTAGTTCAAAGAGGCAGGCCACATTTCCCATGTTTCACATTCAACACAAAATGCAAGACAATAATGTCACAGGAACAAAAAAGAAGCATAAATAAAAATTGATCAAGCCCCAAACCGTAAAACTAAACCAAAAACTATAATGTCAGGTACGATTGCAATGTACTAGTATTCATATACAACCTAGCTTATCAGATAGTCAAAATGAGATTAAATCTTTAAAAAAAGGATTAAAATTCAGGTAGAACTTCCAAGCTTTCTACCATCTTCCTTTTACAGAGAATACCTGCTATAAATTTTCCCCTATCTTAAATCACACAAGGCAGAAGAAGGCAAGAACAGACCAGATTTAAATTCCTGTTTGCTTGGATTTTCCTCCACATAATCTTCCCTTATCTCTACAAGACCCTCCTGTGCCATATTAAGCCAACACATCAGTTAGTCATACAATGACAGTAAGCATCAACACAAAAATACACAGAAATTTTGCAAGAAGATTTAAATTACCAAGAAAAACAGAGTATGTAAAATTGAGGTTGCAATATCTGCCAGTGGCAGAATTACGAAGCGTTCTACTAAAGACATATATCAAAAGAAAAATTCACATAGATAAGTTCACGTGGAAAAGACGATCATAGATTAAAAACTGATTGTAATAGTACAAGTATACTCAAAACTCTTTACATACAATCTTTATAAAGATGTTATCTTTATGATTTCAAGTTTATTCAGGAAACTGTTCCGCCACTGCACAAACCTACCGCTGCTTCAGAAGCTGTGGCACTGAAAAACGATGCTTCGGCTCTGTGGTCCTTAATAATGGCCTCAAGAGAATTAACCTGAGAATCCAAAGACTTGCCTCTTCGTCTCAAAATCTCAACGGTTTGTTTGGACGTTCTATCGGCATAATAACCTGCTCCTAAAAGAACCTGCAAGGAAGCACTAGCTACTTTCAACCGAAATCCTCGCTCCTGGGAGTATAGACAAATCAATAATTCAAAGAAGTGGCACTGAAATTCAATACCAAAAACTCATTGGTGTGAATCAAACGCCCTGGGAAGAATGCTGCTTTCCCAAACGGTACCTGAGAACAATCAGACAGAGAATTGACATCCCAAGTTAAAAATTTCTTTCAGATGCCAGCACGAAACAAGTACGATAACGGAGACACAAAGCTTGGTTACGTGAAAGCACCATTATATCGTGATGGAGCTCTTCGGGAAGCTTCTGAACAAGGTTGATAAGGTTGTTGTTGTCGGCGATGAACCCTCGAAGATGGTCAAGCTCCTTCTCCTTCTCAACGATCGTGTCGTGCACGCGCTTCGCCGCCTTTTCAGCCTCCTCAGCCGGAAAGAGAGAGGCCAGCGGAGTCACCGTCCCTTTCCCTGCACCGTCCATCTGCACCGATCCTGCTAGCTCTACAGTTTGCAGCTCTCACCTTTTTCAATCGGAGTCTTCTGACTTCCCAGGCGCTCTCGGGTCCGCGCTCGCGGGTCACTCGACGCCCCCAAAAAAATAAAAAACCAAGGGCCTATTAATTTTACATTTTAAATTTTATGAAAAATTGCCCAAAAAAGACGAGACTAGAATTTATTTTGTTACCAAGAACTTGAGTCAATTTCTAAGAGTTGCTCCATCTTTAGCATTAGATGAGACTCGCATGAGGTCATTTTGTCCTTATCATATTTGGAAAAAAACAACATGCGAATCTCTTCTGATTTGCAATCGTCTCTAACTTAACGTTTAATTATATTCAATGAAGCTTTAATTGCGTTCAGCGACCATGTTTTAACTTTGTTAGATCAAATCATTGAGTATTTGATAATGATGGTGAGATATTGTTTGACTTTTAATTTTTATCTGGTGATAATAGAGTTCGGTTGTCAGAGTTTCAGATTCTTTTTGAAAGAAGTTGAAAGAAATTGAATCAAATATTTGTTCTATCATTTACTCCTTCTATAAGAATAGTGAATACTTTAATGTCAACTCATGAGTTAAGAAGAAAAATATGTTCATATTTTGAGTGTGAACTTAAAGGATTGGAATTGAAGTACATGCTGTAAGAATTAGATAAAACCACTACGGTGGACTTGAAAGATAATGAAAGAGTTCAATAACTAGTTGAACTTTTTGAAAAATTTGCACATGTTTTTATAGTTAAAGATGTAATTGAGTCTAGGAATGAAGTTGAATCTATGCTAATTTCACAAAGTTAGATTATATAAAAACCTCATTTGGATTGGTTGGTTTTGAATCTTCATCGAGTCAGGGAAGTCAAGAGCTTTCATAGTTAATTCAAAGTACATCTATTTCTTTTCTTGAGCATGGTGTAGCTAAGTGAAAGGACTTGTTTTTGGGCTCGAGATAAACATTCAATAATATAAGCGTATTCAAGGAATTGTCGTACAAGTATAATTTAGCACATAACCTTGCATATAAGTATGTTAAGAATCATGTAAGAAGTATGATAGTATGGTGCACAATTAATGGGTGTCTATGGAAAATAACTTTGCTCATGCGATGAGCTGTGATTCAAAGTTCTCACATGTGCATTCCTTCAAGAATGAGTATATTCACTTAACCCAGGATGATTTCATAGTTCATTGAAAATTCACCTTTACGTTGGCTTTATACATCATAAAAAATGGTTTGAGGTATTCATTAGATAAACCATTAAATAAGATAAGGCAGGACTTATATATGGATTATGGTCTTTCATTGTCTTAATGACCAAGCATGAAAAGGAAAAGAGTAAGCGTTGGCAAATATGCAAGGATCTTTTGTCTAATCTTATGTGTTAGTTCATTGGTTTTGTTAAAAATTATTAGAAGTTGACCTAATAACTGTGGCTAAATAGGCAGCATCAATCGATTATAAATTTTAGATATTGTTCATCTCATATAGATATCATATAGGATGACTCTTGAATTGTTGTTGGCCAGTATTATAAATTGATAAATGTCACCTTAGTAATCAATGTTAGGGTACTATGTTGTCTACATCTGCATATAATGTTAATAATGAGCTTTTTTATATTGCACATGCCATTGTGAGTAAGGAGACTAATGAGGAATGTATTTGGTTTATACAAAATATTAAAGACATTGTAGATAATGTGAAAGTTACAATAGTATCAAATAAGCACAATGCAACAACACATGTTGTGAGAGCCATCTTTAAAGGTAAGAGGCATGTGTATTGATATAGGCGTGTGGAAAGGAACTTTAGCACGGAATATGAAAAAGTTTTTCGAGGTGCTAGATGCAATACTACTATGAGGAAGGAGGATGCATTGAAAATGTTGTTTGCAATTGGACATGCTAAACTTGATGGTGAGTTTGATAGAGTAATGGCCAATATGCACTCCTTTAGCTCTTAGTTAGGTAAGTAGATTAAAGATCATAGTGATGTTGATCATTAGACATTGTCACAATTTCCATTTCAACGATGGGACAATATAACCTCAAATCTTGTTAAGTTTGATAATACACCTCTTGTGACTAAGAGAAAACATCAAATGATTACATTATTAAACGAGCATAGAGAGAAGCTGGCTAAAAAAATATTTGCTAGCAAGTAAGCAATTAAACTGTGGATTAACAGAGTTGGTTTTAATATAAAAGCTATGTTGAAGAAGTATGTATTTTGTGTAGAAAGGATGATTGTTGCACAATATTCAAATCATACATTCGAAATTGTAATTGGAGAAGTTCATGTTGCCATTAATCTTGCAATTAGAGAGTACAGTTACAGGCATGGCAAATGTTTAAGATACCATGCCCACATGTATGTGCAGCTATCAAACATATTAAAGGTAATGTGTACACATGTTGAAGAGTATTATAAAGCTAATACACAAAAGAAGATATATAATAGGACTATGATGTCAATTGATATTCATGACATGTCAAAGCCAAGTTATAGTGGAATGATTATCAAAATGAGACCTTCTTATGGTCCCTAATCACAAGCCATTATCCTAGTGTACAAATGTTCAAGATGCCACCAGGAAAAGCATATTTGAATAAGGTATAAGCAGCAACAACTTTCTGAAGTTATGTACTGAGATGGTCTTTTAATGCCGCTGTTAATGCACTGCTACTCACTTGAATACTCCTCCACTTCACTAGCAACGACCACTACTAACATTGTCGCTTTTATTGTTGTCGATCAAGATGCAATGAGCTTTCACATATATGCAATTGATCGCACGTCGAAGGAAAAGAGCTTCATGTGTCATTTTTTTCCAAATGTAAGAGGCAAAACGGTCATTGTGCGACTCTTATTTAATGCCAAAGAAGGATCAACTTTTAGAAATTGACCAAAGTCCTTATTAGCAAATAAAATCCTAATAAGGTTTTTTGGGCAATTTTCTCTTAAAATTATTTTTAAAAAATGCATTATTTAAAAATCATAAATTAAAATATCAATATGAACTAACGAACCATGCATCCAAATAAAATTTGAATAATCCAATTTATTTAGATGGTTCGTATCACATATGCTCATTATTATGAACCCAAGTCACAATTGACTTATGATAATGATAAGCTAATAAATGCATTAATTAATAATATTATATTCTGTGTAGTGACATTTTGTTCATTCATGGCCATAATAAAAAGGTTTATGAGCTGTATTAAAAAAAGGTTTATGAGCCGATAATTATTATATTTGAATAAATTTGATTTGATGTACTCCTAAGTACACTTTGATGCTCTTGTGATGGGAATGTATTCCCATGGTACTGGGGGACCCGAAAAAAGAGCGTGAGCTTATTCTTATAGGTCTGAATTTTCTGAAAAAACAAAGGATAAAATTCCCTTCAACGCGAACCCACTACTGCCTCAATGCCCTCACCTCGGAGGGCTGTTCTTAACTCCATCTTAACTCTCTTTTAGGAGTATTAAGCAGAGATTTAAGGGGCACTCAGGAGTCATTATAGCTTAGGCTTTCTTTCCTTTTTTCTTGACTAGTTGTCGGCATTACAGATTGAAGATTATTTTGACATGTCCAAGTCAATGCATCTTGTAAATTCCATCCCTCTTGGTCATCTTCATCATCAATCATGGTTCATTTGTTCAACCACCGTGGATTCACAATTTACAGTCATAGATTGGACATGGTGGGTAGAAAGGTTTAGATGCAGTAGCTTCTAGATTAAGGATGACTTACCACTAATGACCTGTTGATAATGAAAGTCTGGAGATAATCAATCTCGAATACTTGAAGCTGCATAGTAGCTTTGAAAATAAATTCTGTAATGGCACCTGGAATGAAATGGGGAGAACATGGAGTGAAAAACATGTTTGATCCCTATTTTTTATCTAAATCTTGCAACAGTCTTTCTCCAAGCCATTGGATGAATCTAACCATAGATATTAACACACTTATGAGGCAGTTGAGGCTAAAATTTCAATACTTAAGGGAAGTCCAGCAAAGATAATTCGGTCGTTACAAGGATAATGGTATCTCTAAAGCCAATGTCTCCGGATGGTTTTTAGGATTAAGGCATTCTAAATCTGGAGGAGATAATTTAGCAGATTAGTATTAACGTTAGTTATGGAAAAGAGCTCATCAACAACTTTGTCTCTCCCAGGGAATCAAAGTTCAAAAATGGCCTTGAGAAGGATTCTTGTGTGGCGAAGTCAATTACTTCATCGTCCTTCATTCGACACTCAATGCTGTCGGGAGCTTTGCATTGCTTTGTTATAACCAAAAGCATTACTGCTTATGATCTCTCCTTTGCCTGCCCTGCAAATCTCTCATGATGGGTTTCTCAATTATTTACTTCTCTGTGTCATGCAATATTGATGATCTTGATTGTTCTGATGTCTTTGGAACTAATGCATGTGCTCGATATTAACGCTCCTCACACCCCCCCAAAAAAAAAAACAAAAAAACACACAAAAACAAAAAAAGGGAAAAGGAAATCGAGGAAACGCAGTTGGGGTGATTTGGACCCATTATAAAACTTACAGAACAATTTTCTTACTTCATTATATTTCATAAAGAGAATGAATATTTTGACTGTTGAAACGAGCAAAATGCTCATTTTTGTTAGCTTACATTTCATTTAAATTCAAACTATGCTTGGATTTTATTATTATCTTTCAAATGAATAATTTTGGAAATTTACCAAGGTTATTCAAGTATTTGTTTCAAGAATATTCATGGGACACTATTAGACAATTTTTTATTAATGATACACTATTATCTTTTTATTGGAGGAAATTATTTTCAAGGCAGATCAAGTGCTAAACTCAAAACGTGATCACTTCTTTAATAAAAAATTCCAACATTAATTCATCTGAGACACCAGCCACCGTCCAAAGCTCACCTCGTTGCCTTTTATTTTATGTTGTTTTAAGTTTTAAATGTGTTAAGGCAACTAACTAGTAGCTTTAATTCAGACCGACGCTCTAACACCCCCCACGTGAAAACCACGTATATGTTTCAATGAGGAGAACCACCGCTGAATCTTTTGCTTCAACCTGCTTGATTGGGGCGTGCGCTCACTTCCGATGGAGAGC